ACTATAAAAGAGTCAATCAACAAACCCTCTGTTTACTAACCTGACAGTCAGCCACATGGGTTCCATTGGGCTTCACCATATGGTACTTAGCTGGCCTCAGAGATTTTTTAGGTTTTTGCCATAGGATGTGTTGAGAGAGAGAGAGAGAATGAGAAATCCCCCCCACCCGGTGACTTTCAGCAAAGACAGGGCGTCTCCACCACCTTGCACTTCCATCTTTATAGGGTCCCCTCCTTTCACTCAGTCCCCTCCCGTACCCCTGCTCCCTCACTCTCTCCCTCTCCCTGGGAGGGTAGGGCAACCAGGGCCTCCTGCCCTCTCAGAGCCCCTCAGCCTGGTGCCTGGCCCATCACCGGCAGGGCCTGTCCCCAGGCCACCTCCAGCCAGTGGGGCAGGCTCCTTCTGGCTGGAGAGGCCGTGGGTGGGTTTCCAGGAACAGCTGTGAGCAGCTGAGATACAATGACTGCCTGGAGAGTCGTTAGGAGATAATTAATATTTGTGGCACAGAGCTGCGGCTGCTAAGCTGCTCCCACCCACGGAGCTGGGCCTCCAGCCCTCCCTGGCTGAGGACCCCAGACCCACAGGACTTGGGGCCGGTGGAGGACCCCGAGTGTCAGGGCTGCAGCGTGGCCATGGGCATCTGTCTGAGGGGGCCCTGCCTCCGCCTGGCTGTTTGTTCAGGTTGGTGACCTCCGGAGGCTGCCAAGCTGGACACGTCATCACACCCGGTCACAGAGGACACCAGGGCCAGGGCTCAAGGTGGCCATGGCTTCTCCTCACACCTGAGGCCAGCTGGCCTTTGGCGGTTGCCATGGTGATGGTCGTCCCTAGCAGTTGGGCAAGGACGTTGCAGCGGCGGCTGTGTGCGAGTGTGCGGGAGCAAGGCCGTCCGCGTCGGCTCCCTCTGGCTCGCCATCTGCGAGGGGCAGACGCCTCTGCCACCCAGAGCCACTGCCCTGGGTGCTTCACTTCGCGACAGCCTGGGGCCGGAGACCTGCGCTCTGCAAACTTTGTACCGTGACTCTCCTAGCCTTCGATGCTCTCCCCGCTCAAACTCTTAGCTGCTGCAAGGACCCCGGCAGACCCTCAGGCCTCCAGAAACTCCGTTTTCAACTGTAGCCAGCAGGGCTGAACCAGCTCAGAGGTTTGCAGTTAGGATGAAATGGGATGATGTCATAAAATGCTTCGTTCTCCTTGGGAAGGACCTGGCTGGTCTTGGGACTGCATCCCAGAGGTTTAAAAGGAAAGGGATTTCTCCTCGGGCACAGATTTGCCTTTTTTTTTTTTTTTTTCCATACCATGCATGTGCTCATCAGAGAGACAGAAAGTGAGAAACTACTCCTGGGGAGATGGCCACCCTGCAATCCCGTCTTCCTTCTCCTCTCAGGATTTTGGGTACAGACGCACATGCACCTGGTGTGAGTTTCAAAGCCACCGGGTCCAGGATTCAAACCGCAGTCGGCCATGCGAGAGTCCAGTGCCTTAGCCATTATGCTATCTGCTGGTCCCGGATTCACATTCTTTATTAGGTGCCTACTGTAAAGTAGCTCTGCCATTGCTTTGCCACCTACGTTCTTCCATCCACGGACTCCTTCCTAAACATCACGTCTGTCCTCTTATTTGATTCTCACGCCATGCTGGCTAGGTTGGCCTCATCATCTCAGTCTCCAGGCAAGGGAATGGAGGTTAAGTCATTTCTGTCCCCAAGGTCACCCCACAGTGACATGACAAAAAACTGGAACGCAAACTTCTCTTTCTCCACATCTCCCTCGCCTCCTGTGGGCCAGACAGGCCTGCACTCAAATCCGGCCTCCAGCCCACCCTGGACGAATGACCTCTGCAGAGTTGGGGGCTTCTCTGCAGAATGGCGGGAATGGCGGGGCGGGAACAGAACCTGCCACGCTGGCTGCTGTAGGGATTCAATTAGAGGCATGCGGAATATTTGCTCTCTGAGAAATGGTCATGAAGGTGGCCGTTATTTTCTTCATTCATGTATTTATTTCAGTTTGACTAGGGAGGGACAGAGAGAGAGAGAGAGAGAAAGTGAGAAAGCAAGCCACCAGGTCTGGGACTTGAACCGTGATCCACCATGTGAGAGTCCAGCGGTACCCAACCACCACGCCCCCCTGCTCGCCCCTCCGTTATTTTCATTGTTATTATCACGATGATTTCTCCACCTATGGGGGTGTGGTTAGACCCCATAATCCCTGGCGTCCCAGTGTGGACCCAGATTACCAGGTGGGCTGGCAGTGCCCTGGGTCTTTCAGGTTTGGGGGTTTGGGCTAGGAGCGGAGAGGAGCCCCTTGCGGAGGGCCGTGGCAGGGCAGCCTTCCACTGGGGGCTCCTTCTGCCCGCCTTCTAATCTTCCTCCTGTTCCCACCACACAGCATTAGGCCGGGTGTGTGAGCATAGAGGGGGGCCGAGAGGGGAGGGGGCGCCTTTCCCTGGGAGGCTGCCTTCTGTCGCTAGACAAACAAACACGCAGCACCCACGCTCGCCTGGAAATGGAGCGAGGCGTTAAATACAAGCACACAGCGGAGGCCGAGGCGGAAGGCCGGCTTCCTCGGGCTTCCGCGGACCGAGCTGGCCGCAGCCGCCGGCAGCAGCTACTCTGGAAGCAGCTCACGTTTTCTGCAGCACGGGCTGACCCAGCACCGCCGCAGGAGGAGACTGGGGGTTTGTGCCGGCCCCAGAGTCTGCCTGGCATCTGCCACTGCCCGGCTGGGGGACAGCAAGGGACCGCTGCAGGTCGCCAGCTGACCCCTGCTATTAAGAAGCGTCTCCAGGTTGACGGGTATCCACTGTCCAGCTCCTGATGCGTGGTGGGTGTAGCCTGTCACTACTTGGGGTATGTTGATGGTATGGCCTTAGTGGGGAGCCCTGGCTGGAGAGAGAGCGGGCATAAACTTGCACTCATACCCTGCCACCTAAATGCTGTGTGACTCTGGACAATTGACCTCACTTCTCTGAGCCTCCAAAGCTTCCTTAATTAGAAACTGGGAAATGTAATCGTATCTCCGTATCGGGTCGTCAATAGGGAGTAATAAGTAGAGTTGGTGGCACTAGGTAGGCCTCATCCATGATAAAGGCTAAGATTGCCATTATTATCTCTTCATTTCTTTCTGTCTTTTTAAAGAATTATTTTATTTAACTTTATTTATTATTATTATTTTTAATCCGATCAGAGAGAGAGAGAGAGATGGGGGGAAAGTGAGAAAGCAAGCTGCCATGTCTGGGACTCGAACCACAGTTGGCCATGTGGGAGTCCAGCACCTCAACCACCATGCCACCTGCCAGTCCCTCTTTTTTATTTTTATTGTGGGAGAGATTTTTGCTATAGGATGTGTGCGCTTGCCAGAGAGGCAGAGAGACAGAAAGCAAGAAATTAACTCCCAGGGAGATGGCCATGCTGCAATCCCTTCTTTTCCAGTCTTCTTTCAGGATTTTGGGCACACACGCATGCGCGTGCAGTGTGCGTTTCAAGCCACCAGGTTCGGGACTCGATCCGTGGTTGACCACATGGGAGTCTGGTGCCTTTACCCCTAAGCCACCTGCTGGCCCCTATTTTTTCTTTATTCACAATAGAGTGCGTGAGTGTGGACACAAGAGAGAGAGAGACAGAGAGAGAGAGAGAAGCGTCCTCACTGGGGATGCTCTCACCAGTCCTCTTCCTCCAGCCCTCCAAGACTGCTGGATCTTGGGCACTCGTGTGTTCACGGTGTTTCAGACTGATCAGGCCAGGGGTTCGAACCATGGTCACCATGCAGAATCTGGCTTTTGTTGAGCAGCGCATTACCACTGTGCCACGGAACTGGCCCTGGGTGTCTCTATCTTTGCTATGTAACCCAAACCTCGCTTTTCCAATCTGACCAGTGGGTGCGATCACACATCTGTCCCAGAGGTGGTGGGCAGGTGGCAGACCCACAGTGCTGAACAAATTTACTTTTCTTTCTTTGTTGTCGTTTTCGCTGTAGGGCACATGTGCTCACCAAAGAGAAAGACAGAGAGAAAGAAAGTGAGAAATCACCACCCCCGCGGGAAGGCCATGCCACTGTCTCTTCTCCATTCTCCTCTTGGGATTTTGGGGCTCGCAGACACACATGCCTCGTGTGATTTTCCAACTGCCAGGTCTGGGACTCGAACCCCGCTGATGGCCACGTGGGATCCAGTGCCTTAACCTCTACCCCATTTGCTGGCTCAGATACATTTCCATTTTTTTTTTTTGATAGGCTTTTGCTATAGGGTGCATGCGCTCGCCAGACAGACAGAGAGAGACAGAGAGACAGAAAGCGAGAAATTGGTGGACCACACTTAGAATGGCATCAGTCTGGGGCCGGGCTGCCCAATGGGATGGCCACTGACCACACGTGGCTGTGAAGCACTTGCCGTGGGCCGGGTCCAGATTGAGAAGGATGGGACACGAGGCACACACCACCTGCTATGTACAACTCGTCTTGTGTCTTAGCCTGTTCTATCGGCTCCCACCTGTGGGAAGCTCCGGATGGCCCTGTGAGTTGGCAATGGGCAAAGTGACCCTTGTCGTTTATCAGATGAGAAAGTAGAGGCTTGGAGAGTGTCAGAGCCTTGTCCAGGGGCCTTCAGCCGGCCGGGGGGGAAGGTTGTTTAGAAGCCGGGTCTCTTCAGCCTCTCTTCAAAGCTCTACCCATTGGACCTCACGAAATGGGTCTGGAGGGGACAATGGAGGGCAAAGAATTCTTTTTATTATTTTAAACTGAGGTGCAATTCACATAGCATACAATTAGCCTTAATTCATTAATTAATTTTTGGAGAGGTTTTTGCTACAGGGCGTGTGCACTTGCCAGAAAGACAGAGAGAGACAGAGACAGAAAGAGAGAAATCACCGCCTGGGGGGGATGGCCACGCCGCAGTCCCTTCTCCTCCATTCTCCTCTCGGGATCTTGGACGTGCACGCACACACGCTCTGCGTGAGTTTAAGGCACCATGTCTGGGACTTGAACTATGGCAGGCTACATGGGAGTTCAGCAATGTAGCCATTATACCATCTGCTGGTCCCATATTTATTTATTTATTTATTTATTTATTTTTGAGAGATTTTTGCTATAGAGTGTGTGTGCTCACGGGAGAGACAGAAAAAAACAGAGTGAAAGTGAGAAATCACCCCTCAGGAGAGGGATGGCCACGCCGCAATCCCTTCTCCTCCATTCTTCTCTTGGGATTTTGGGCATGCATGCACATGTGCTCGGCATGAGTTTCAGCCACTGGGTTTGGGACTCGAACCACGGTTGACTACATGGGAGTTCAGCGACATAGCCATTATGCCAACTGCTGATCCTATATCCATGCTTCCTTTGATGGGCATTTAGGTTGGTTCCACCTTTTGTCTCTTACGATTGATTCTGCCATGAACAAAAAGAGCCAGGCTTGTAACTTATAGACTGAAGGGAGACAGATCTCACAGGGTCAACCACATTGTGAATCCAAGCCCTGGTGGCTTGAAAAACACGCTGGGTGCCTGTGTGCATGCCCCAAAATCCAGACAGGATAAAGAAACGGAAGAGAAGGAATTGCGGGGTAACCACACCCCAAAGGGGGCGCTTTCTCCCTTTCTTTCTCCCTGTCTTTCTGGAGAGCATATGTCCCCTATGGCAATTAAAAATAAAAAAGAACTGCGTGGCCGATAGTGGTTACATCACTGGACTTTCACATGGCTGACTGCAGTTCAAGTCCCAGACCCGGTGGCTTGAAAATCACCCCGAGTACGTGTGTGCGCATGCTCAAGATCCCAGGAGGAGAATGGAGAAGGGATTGCGGCATGGCCATCCCCCCTGGAGGATGACTTTTCATTTTCCCTCTTACTGTCTTCGTCTCTCCAGCAAGTGCATGTGCCCTATGGCAAAAACCTCTAAAAATAAGTAAGTAAATTAATGAAGTTAAAGCGATCCGAGGTGATAGATTTGCTAATTACACCCTGATGTGATCACCACATTGTATACAAGCGTTAAAATATCACACTGCACTCTCTAAACACAAGTATTATGGGCCAATTAAAAACAAAATAATAATAATAAAGAATCCGTCTTCCCTCCTCCCATTTTGTCGCAGGAGTTATTAATAAGGTGCTCCCCTTCCACAGGGTTAACCCGCTGTCAGCTGCATGGTCCCCTGTTCACGGTTCCTCACCCGCCGCCCGCAGACTAACTCCAGGACTATCTTCTACTGAGCCAGCACATAGTAGGTACTCAGTTCTGCATTGAATGAATGTCTTGACGTCTCCCTAACACACAGCCCATGCAACAGGGAACAGACCAGTTCCTGACGTTTCCAGACTGGGGAACCGTGGGATGCGGCCAGTCCGCCAAGCCAGCCTGGAGGAGGAGCAGGGGGTAATGTAAGCACCATCCCTTCCCCTGAGCAGGGTCTGTGGACAGAGACCTACCGAGAGGCAGGGGCCTGGTTGTCTGGCGAGGCCTTCAAGCCGGTCACTGCTGAGCGCGTCCAGGAAGTTCCCCGGCCTTTGCAGGCATCCTTGGCTCAGCCTAACTGTCTTGGTCACAGCTGCCCCGAGTCCGAGGAGGCGGACAGGCCTCCATGCCCCGTATTATCGCTGGAATGCCAAGTGCTCCTGGAGTGGAGGGCGAGGCTGGCTCTGTCTGTGGACGGCGGGGCTCGGCAGCTTGGCCACCTGAGACCCTGGCCGATCGAGCCTGTGTGTGGGTGACGCTAATGTCCTCTGTCTCCCTTCCTGGTGGGCGCAGTGGCCTCCTCTGGCCACCCCTTCCCTCCTCGCCTCCTCCTCCCTGGCCATTATGTGTTTCTCTGCTTGCCTGATGACCTCATCCCAAAGGGCAGGTCATGCGTCGTGGCCGGCAAGGGCTCTGTGACCCAGGCTCCCTCCAGCCTTGGGCCCTTGCACCTGTCATTCGCTCAGGCGGGTGCCCCAGGCCCAGGCTGTAATGGGCTTCTGCAGGGGCCGGCCCAGCCCAGGCACTTCCTGCAACAAACCTGGGGCAAACCTGTGTGCCCCATGTGACTTGAGGAAGCCACCTCCTCTCTCCTCTGCAAAAGGGGTTTGTCACCAACATTGGAGGGTCATCCTGAACACTGTTCCTGGGTTGGCTCCCCAGGAATGGATGTGATTAATGTGGGGAGAGAGCTCAGGGGAGGACGATGTAGAATAGGAAGGGGAAAGGAATTGGCAAGGGTGTGACCCCTGTCTTGGCCTGACCCCAGCTGTTCTCGAGCATAGGTGACCCTTCTTAGCAAGGGGTCCCCGAGTCAGTGGGTATGGGCTGCCCGGAGTGTCAGAGTACACACCACCCAGGAGCATGCTCCAGGCAGCTGGGGTCTGGGTTCCCCAACAAGGGTCTGGATAAAATGGGACAATCTAGAAAGCACCCTAGGGACCCCAAGAGTAACGTGGAGGAGCGCGACTCACCATAGAACGTATTCTCATAAAAACCTTCTCTCCAGGAAGACTCGGAACCCAGCGGGTGACTCCCCGCTGCTGTCTCCACCCTCTCTCCTGGCCCCCTCCAAGCTGATCAGTCCCTCAAGATGTCCAGGTGATCTGCTAGGGTCCAGGAGCTGAGCAGAGGGTCCTGTCCTCTCCATCACATGCTGGGGACCGTGGAGCATTCCAGCCTGCAGGATGGGGCACGAGTGTCCACCATGGGACTGCCTTCACCTGCTCGTTAACCCAGTGGGAACATCGCGAGGTTTCCAGTGATTCTTGCTATGAGTTAAGAGATTAGGTAAAGGTGATCATGCAGAAAAACAAAATCCTGGAGTTTCCGTGTCTCTCTCTCTTTTTAAAATTTTGCCAGAGGGTGTGTGCACTTCACAGAGAGACAGAGGGAAGAAAGCAGACTGCATGGAATGGTCACGCTGCAATCCCTTCTCCTCCGTACTCCTCCTTTTGGGATTTTGGGTGCACGCACACACCCCCAGGGTGTTTTTTGTTTGTTTGTTTTTGTTTGTTTTGTTTTGTTTTTGAGAGTTCTTTTGGCTATAGGGCATGTGCACTTGCCAGAGAGACAGAGGGAGAGACAGAGAAACAGAAAGCGAGAAATCACCCCCCGGGGGATGGCCACGCCACAACCACTTCTCCTCTCAGGATCTTGGGCACACATGCGCACATGCCTGTCAGGTCCGGGATTTGAACTGTGGTCGACGACACGGGAGGGAGGTCCAGTGAAATAACCATTACACAATCTGTTGGTCCTGGCAGTACATTTCTAAAGCTGCTGGCTCCAGGACCTGAACCATGCAGTTGGCCATGTACGATCCAGCTGCCCTAACCACCGTGCCATGGGTTGGACCCCTTGCCTCTTATCCTGATCTCGCTCACCCCTTCTGGTTGAACTGCAGGCATACGGGCACACCTGGTCCTTTTCTCGTAAAGGCGAGTCCTTTGTGGGCTCAGTTTCCTCATCCGTACACCAGCTCTGCACATTCTGCTGTCATGACAGCAAAGACCATGGCAAGACCCTCCGGATGGGCCAGCAGGTGGCATGGAGGTTAAGGCCCCTGATCCCACGTGGCTGACCGTCGCCAGACCCAGTGGCTTAAAAATCACACCGGGCACCTGTGTGTGCATGCCCAAGATCCCAAGATGAGACCAGAGGAGAAAGGATTGCAGCATGGCCATCCCCTCTGGGGGGTGGTTTCTCACCTTCCCTCTCTCTCTTTCTGTCTCTCTCCAGCAAGTCCACCCGTGCACACATTCCATAGCAAAAACAACCCCCTGGCAGGGTGCTCTTGGGTTTACAGAGCAGCTCGGCACACCTGGAGGAAAGAAATGGACAAAGCTGAAAGGAGCTTAGATACCATCTTGTCTGCGGAGCTGGTAGGTGGGATGGTGGTTAAGGGCACTGGACTCCCACATGGCTAACCACGGTTTGAGTCCCGGACCAGGCAACTTGCTTTCTCACTTTGTTTCTCTCTCTCTCACCCTGGCCCTCTTGGATCAAATTTAAATAAATAAATAAAGTTAAATAAAATAATTCTTTTAAAAAAGAAGAAGAACGGAAACCCTCTTGTCTGCTCTCTTGATTTCCAACTGGGGAAACTGGGACTAGAGAGGATAAATAAAACATAAATAGGGACCAGCAGTTAGCATAATGGCTATGTCGCTGGACTCCCACGTAGTCGATCGTGGTTCGCGTCCCGGATCCGGTGGCTTAAAACTCACGCTGGGCGCGTGTGCGTGCATGCCCAAGATCCCGAGAGGAGAATGGAGGAGAAGGGATTGTGGCGTGGCCATCCCCTCTGGGGGATGATTTCTTGCTTTCTGTCTCTCTGTCTCTCTCTGTCTGTCTGGTGAGTGCACGAGCCCTATAGTGAAATACCTCTCAAAAAATAAATAAATAAATAAATAAATAAATAAACTTAAAACAAAAAAAGAAAGGAAGGAAGGAATAAAGAAAGAAAAAGCCAGACATGGTGGCTGCCTGCCCCAGTGGTCCCAATACTTGGGAGGCTGGGGCAGGAAGATTGCAATACAGCGAGACCGTGTCACACACTCAAAATAAATAAATAAAATAAAAGTCTCAGAGGTTCAGAGCATCAGTCAGGTGGTTCTGATAACTGCTCTCGGGCCTGGGACAGGACCCGGCCTACAGTGGGTGTTCAATAAATATTTGTTGAGTGAAAGGCCTGAGTAAGTAAATGTTCCTGGTGCCGGGGAGGCAGGGGTTTCTGGAAAGAGAGAGCCGTGCACAGCCTTCCTGGGGCAGATCTCCGGGAAGCACGCAGGCCCAGGGCCGGCTGGGCATATTGAAATGCGGGGTCAGGTGCTCAGATATTCATTGCTCCATCAGAGGCTTAGCCTAAGAGGCTGCTAGCCCCAGAGGGGACCAGAGCCGGGAGGGAGTCGTGATCACAGCAGAGATTACAAGAGCTTGTTAAACGGAAATCCCTCCTGGCAGATGGTCAGCTGGTTCCCAGGGTCCAGACGTGGGAAGGAAAGCCCTTTTCTATGGGGAATCCAAGAAGCCTTGAAACTGGTGGAGGAAATTGTGCCTTCATGAGTTAACAACATCAATAATAATGAAAATAGCCACGTCGTTATCGTAGTCACCTTGTCTGGGCACTCTGCAGTTCCCTAGGAGGCCCTGCAAGGCACATACTGTCCTTCCCATTTCAGAGATAAGGAAGCTAAGGATCTGGGAATGGAAGGGATGTGCTTACTGAGGTTCAAATCCCGGTCCAGGCTTGGACCATCAGAATTGCTCTGACATTGTCCTTCTGCAAAGCCACAAGGTGGTGCCCAGGCTAACCTGCCGAGCTAGAGACACACAAAGCAGAGCTGAGTCACAGATTCTCAGTCAAGGTCATCCCAGATCAGCCAACAGTCAGCCAACCCAGCTAATATCAGCAGAACCATTTGTGACTATTTGTTACGCAGCATTATCACGGCTGTAGGTAGCTGATACACAGAGGGATGCATCACCTCTTCTAAGATGAAAAGAATGCAGCCTGAAGTTCAAGTTTACAAGATCCTTTCTGCTCTGGGAGAAGCCCTGAGGTACAGGGGTCCTTCTTTTACTGTATGGGCTGTAATTATGGGAGCTTGATGCCCTCGATGGATCAGCCTGGGCCCAAAGGACAAAGTTCCCATCTCATCCTCAGGACAGCCACGGAGGTAGGGATATAGGGAAACTAAGGAAACCTCCAGGAAAGACAGTGGCTTGCTTATGATCATGGGGCTGCTCACAGAGCAGGGACTGGAATCAGGGCCTCTTTTCTCATCCATCATACACTCCCACACTGAAGATCCTTACATAGGACCCGCGCCAGGCTCTGTGACTCTGCTCACGACCTACCCTCTCACGGGCTACCTTCTCCTCCAGAGCAAACAGGAAGCAACTTGAGAGCAAGCGTTCTGGGAGATGCAGGGTTATGTGTCCTTCCATTCTGTCCCTCTTTTCCCCCCTTTCTCCATTCCTCCCTTCCTTCCTTTTCCACCCTTCTTCTCTTCCTTCCTTCTTTCCTTCTTTTTATTCTACAAATACACATCCTGCACCCACCCACCCCACCCCCATGCCAGGCACCCTGCTGGTCTCTGAAGAAGCCATGGGAATGAGACAGGCATGGCCTCCATGTTGGGAAGGAGCAGGGAAGACAGGGGCTTAACTAGCTGTTAATGAGCACAACCTGGGGACAGGCTCGGGAACAGTGAGCAGCAGGTCGGTCAGACGAGTGGGACTCTGCGTTTAGCCTTTGACTGAGCTGGGCCCCCCTTGGTGGGCTAGTCACCTCCCTGGGTCTCAGTTTCCTCATTTGGGGCTGATGTCAACCCTTTGCACTCATAGGAGTCCCAGGCCCGGTGGCTTAAACTCACGCCAGGCACCAGTGTGTGCCTAAGATCCAGAGAGGAGAATGGAGGAGAAGGGATTGCGGCGTGGCCATCCCCCCTGGGGGGGGTGATTTCTTGCTTTCTGTCTCTCTCTCTGTCTGGCAAGTGCATGCACCCTATAGCAAAAACCTCTAACCGCCCCCCCCAAAAAAATGAGGTGTCGAGCTGGCACCTGGCAGGTGCTCATGACAGGAGGTGTCTTCATTATTGTCCTGGTTGCTGTGAGACCCTCGCTGGCTGCCCTTGACCGGGCGTCCCCACCAGCATGGCCGTCTTATCTGTGAGCAGAGCTGGGCTCACCCTTCCCTAACCCTCGGAGTGATAATCCATCTTTAATGCCTCTAGAGGAGGGAGCTTTGAACAGGACCCAGCTCTGGCCGCTCCTGCTGGCTCCCTGGCGGATCCTTGCCTTTGAAAGGCGTGACAGGGTTGCCAAATCCACCCAGGGACCTAACGCGATTGTCTCGCCTCTGTAACTCTGCCGGGGAAGCCAAGCTGGGGACTTCCATCCAGGCTTCCAGAGGCTCCCAGAGCTGAGGGAGGCACAAGGGGCCTTCTGGAAGGCCACCTGGCCAAGGAACCCAGCCCAGGAGGAACAGAGCCAGGAGGAAGAGCCCAGGTCCAACTGCACGTCTACTGCGTGCTTAGCAATATCCCCTCTCTGCAAGCAGAGACACTTCCTCAGCGCTGATGTTACCTGCGGAGACGAGAACAAGGTGCAGGGAGTCCCCATTCTCGAGTTCTAGCTGACACTGAGTTAGTGGCCTTAGGACTCACCCACTCTCTGAAGTCTCAGCTTGCACGCTATAAAACGTGAAGCTCTGTTACAAGGCAGTGGCATTCCGTGTTTAAGAGTGGACGCCCTGGAGTCAGACGGACTTTGCATCCGTTCATGACTGTGTGAGCCCGGGGCAGTTGGTGACCTCTCTGCCTCAGGTTCCTGGATGATAAAACACGGAGAGAAATGACAAAATCTCTGGCTTTGTTTCTTCCCAGCTGGGTGGCTTCCACCACTGAGCCTTCCTCCTCTGAGCCTCGGTTTCCCCATTTTGTAACAGGGTCAACAAGCATGCCTAGCTGATGGGGCTGATGCAGGGGCCCCATGAGATGATCCATGCCCAGTTTGAGAAACCACACTCGGCATAGAATAATCAAGTTGGTGCTGGTTGGGCGCCACTGTTTCGTCCTCTTTTTTTTTTTTTTTTCTCCCATTCCTTCTTTGCTTCCCCATGACTGGGTATTGGGTCTTGGAGGAGTCAGACTTGTCTCCAGGCAGGCCCACCTCCAGAATTATGTTAAGAATCCAACGTACTAAAGGGGAAGGGCTTTGGCAATCTCAAGGCTCATCTGTCATGGAAGAGGAGAGGTGATAAATTCCCACCGGGGCTGGTGGCGACTTCTCTTTATGTTCGCTCTCATCCAGGGTCATTAATTTAGAGCTCGACGAGGACTTTGATCATCTGCAACTGCGGTGACATTAATTTGGTATCGGCCAACCTCCGATATTGTCTGTGGCCCTCGTCATGATCTGTATGACATCATCGCTACATACCACATGCAACGATGCTCTATTTCATGTTTTGTTTGAATTATTCTCTCTCTCCCTTTTTTAAACATCCATTCAACTTTAACTCTTCTTCTTTTTTTTTTTTTTTTTTTTTTTTAAAGGAATACTATTCAGAAAATGAAACATCTTGATGGGCCGGCACACAGGAAAAGAAACACTCAGCTCTTCAGGGAATGTTTTAAAGTGTTGATAGAGGACCCCAAAGGAACTGCATTTGGGTTATCATCAAATGAGGGGGCTGCATAGCGGGCATTGTCCTCCCACCCTCCCGCTAACCAACACACCCTGTGATTCATTACTTCATATTTATCAAGTGCTATCTCCGTTCTCCAAGCCCCGGGGTTTCTGTCATCTGTGGCTGTAATGACATTAATTTGCTGGTCGCCAACCTGAGTTACTTGTGTACCACTGTCATAACAATCGTTATTATTCTTTCAGGGATCGCCACCCAAATACAGCGGCGCTTTGTTCAACCTTCTGTTTTGGATCGCTTTTTTAAAACAGTGTATTACTTTCTTTCCTCTGAGAGAGAGAGAGAGAGACAGACAGAGAGAGAGGAGAGTTTTAAAGGGGAATTTAGAGAAGAAAAGAGAGAGAGAGGCACCCCCCAATAGGGTCTGTTGTTTTTGTTTGTTCGTTTGTTTATAAGCACTCACCAGGCAGAGACAGAGAGACGGGGGGGAGCGAGACAGTATCTCCTAGGGGTGGGCGATGGCCATGCTGCAATCCCTTCTCCCCCATTCTTCTCTTGGGATTTTGGGCATGCATGCACACATGCCAGGCATGCTTTTCAAGCTGCTGGGTCTGGGACTCGAACTGCATAGTTAGCCATGAGGGACCTAGCTGCCTTAACCACCACACCACCAGCTGGTCCACAGCAGGGTCTTCCTGCCATGATCCACCCAACCTCAGCCAGCTCCAGACCATGGGCACACTGCACTTGGTGAGTGCAGGGTGGGCCTGAATGCAAAGTTGGAACCTTCCATGTGGGTCTGCCTTGCAAACGTTGACTTATCACTGTGACCCCACCTAGCCCCTGAATCCCTTTTTCACTTTCATTTTTATGTATTTATTTATTTAGAGAGTTTTGCTATAGGGTGCATGTGTTCAACAGAGACACAGAGAGACAGAGAAAGAGAAAGTGAGAAATCACCCCCTGGGGGGTGGCCATACTGCAATCCCTTCTCCTCCATTCTCCTCTCAGGATCCTGGGCACACACCCAGTGTTAGTTTCATGCTACTGAGTCCAGGACTCGAACCATGGTCAGTCGTGTGGGAATCTAGCGCCATACCCCCTATGCAACTTATTGGCCCTCACTTTTTAATTTTTCCAATTTAAATTTAACCGCACCCTAAGCAATCCTATCTATGACATCATAGGTTTGATGGGCTGGTTATCTCTTTCTTTCTAGCACACGCTTGTTCTAAATGACACATCAAACCCCAGACCCTATGAGTCTTGGCCTCTGGAATGGGCCTAAAGGCCACTGGACATCCAGTCCCATTCTGACGTCTCCTAGGTCATTCTAGACGTTGGGGCTTCGCTCCACAACTCTTTCTCCATCCTCATCTCTCTTCCCCTGGCCCTTGAAGACACAAAAAGGGTTAACATCCATCTCCTGTGCTTCTTGACACATCTCACCCTGGGTTCCTGTGGATAATCGCCAGCTTCCCTTGAGCAATGACCTTGCCCCCCGCCGTGGGGGCTATCAAGAGACAGATATAAACACCTCCAAGTTCCCAGCTAGCTCTCTTAATTGGCACCTTTCTGTTCTGCTTTAAATTAATCAAAGCCAGTCCGATATTAATACTGTAGGGGGAATTAAAATCATGCAACGCATTAAAGATGTAATTTAAAATTAATAACTCATAATTATTTATCATGGCGTATCAGTGGAGCTATGAATTTTCCCTTCTAACCCACTGCACATTCTCCTGCCTTTGCTTTTAATAGCATCTGGACCGTCGCTGCGCCCAACCTTGGTTCCCGCAGACACCCAACCTAAGAGACGTAATTCATTTAATTTAATTTTGGGGGGCTTAATTGTGGTAAATCACTACTTAAGAAAAGACATCTATTTGAAAGGACAAATTGGGATAATTGAATAAAAGCCGGAGTGAGGAAGCCCAAGGACTTAATGATGCGCTGTGGGTTTTCGCCAGCAAACCCCCTGCTCTTCGACTCATGTATGGAGAGACGCTAGGTTAGTTCTTAGTCTTCACCACAACGGCATCATTCAGGTTTGCCAAGCAATGGTAGTAACCTGCATGTCCGTCAACACAGGCCTGTGTGAATGAACAGGGCCGTCCACCCAGCGGAATATTACGCAGTCATATAAAAGAATAAGGAGGGCTCAGCCTTTGGAGCAATGGTTATGCCACTGGACTCTCTCATGGCTGACTGCAGTTCGAGTCTTAGACCCATGGCTTGAAACTCATGTCAGGCATGTAGGCATGTATGCCCAAAGTCTCCAGAGAAGAATGGAGGAGAAGGGATTGTGGCGTGGCCATCCCCTCCGGGGAGGGATTTCTCTCTTCCTCTCTCTGTCTCTCTGGTGAGTACACACACTCTATTAAAAAAAAAAAATCTCTAAAAAGGACAGGTCTTATGTATTGACATGGAAGAATAGCCAGGTATTGGGTCGTTAGAAATGTCTTGATGTGTTTTTCTATGTTTTTCTATGCAAAAATGCATCATGACTTTTCCGACAACCCAATTAATAAAAAGAAAGTTAACAGGCCAGTCGGTGGCATGGTGGTAAAGTGGCTGGATCCCACATGACTAATCTCACAGTTCAAATCTGAACCTGGCAACTTAAAAAAATGCACTGAGTGGGGACCGGCAGATGGCATAATGGCTACGTTGCTGGACTCCTATGTAGTCAACCAGTTCGAGTCCCAGACTTGGTGGCTTAAACTCACACCTGGCGTGTGTGCGTGTGTGCCCAAGATCCTGAGAGGAGAATGGAGGAGAAGGGCTTGCGGTGTGGCCATCCCCCCGGGGACTGATTTCTTACTTTCTGTCTCTCTGTCTCTCTCTGTCTGTCTGGCAAGCGCATGCGCCCTATAGCAAAAATCTCTCCAAAAAAAAAGCATTTGGTGAATGTGTATGTGTGCCCCAAATCCCTAATGGAGGGAGAAAGGGAGAAGGAGGGATTGTGGTATGACCATCCACCATGGAGGGGTGCTTTCTCTCTCTCTCTCTCTCTTTCTCTCTCTGGTGAATGCATATTCTCTCTAGCAAATCTCCTCTCGCCCCCCCCCCAAAAAAAAGGAAGAAAGAAAAAAAATGAGTGTATAGTACACCATTTCGGCTATATGTATACATGCACATGTGTAAATTATTGATATAGACCACCCTGGAAAGACATGTAAGTACCTGGTATCATTGTTACTTCTGGGACAGGGACTGGGCAGCTGGGGACAGAACTAGGGAGAGTTTTTCATTCTTTATTCTTTTATCTTTTTTTTTTTTTTTTTTTTTTTTTTTTTGGGCTAGGGCATGTGCACTCACTGGAGAGACAGAGAGATATAGAGAGAGGGAAATCAAGAAATCATCCCCCAGGGAGGATGGCCATGCTGCAATCCCTTCTTCTTCATTCTCCCCTTGGGATTTTGGGCATGCATGCACCTGTGCTGGCATGAGTTTTAAGCCTTCGGATCCAGGACTCAAACTACAATTGACCATATGGGAGTTTAATGGCATAACCATTACACCATCTGGTGGGCCTTTTTTTTTTTTTTTTTTAGAGAGGGAGAATTTTTGCTATAGGGCATGTGTGTTTGCCAGACAGACAGAAAAACAGAGAAAAAGTGAGAAATCACCCTGCTGGGGAATGGCCACACTGCAATCCCTTCTCCTCCACTCTCCTCTTGGGATTTTGGGCATGCACACACATGCGCCCGGTGAGTTTCAAGTCTCTGGGTCTGGAACTTGAACTGCAATAGGCCATGTGGGACTCTAACACCATAACCATTACGCCACCTGCTGGCCCCTGAGTTTTTTTAAAAAAAAGCAGCTTTTTTCCAAGTTCATTTGTCTATTTCTTCTACGAGAGAGGAAGAGAGGGAGAGATTGGCAGAGAGATAGGCACCCCTAACAGAATTTTCGTACCCTGACGTTCAACCAGCCTCAGCCAGCTTAGGTCACGGGCATGTGCGTGTCCACTGTACAGGAAGCCATAGGACCTTCCCCAGTGGCTTCCGCATCTCAGGACATTGCTTTAGGATCTGCACCACCATCCGGCCCCTCCCTTTTGTATCTTTTGAACTTTGTGCTACCAGCAAGTATTACCAATTCACAAAGATAAAAAATGAAAACAGAAGAGTGGGGAAGATTTGCCAGCTTGGGTGTTGCCATGTCTCGCATGCCTTCACTCTGCTTTGCATGTACCATCTCACTCCTCATAATAATTGTTACCACGTATTGGGGGGGCCCTTTTGTTTCCTGTGCTGACCTTATTTTTTAAAAATTATTTATTTATTTATTTTGGAGAGGTTTTTGCTATAGGGTACATGTGCTCGCCACGAAGATAGAGAGAGACAGAGAAACAGAAAGGGAGAAATCACCCCCCAGAGGGGATGGTCACACCGCAATCCTTTCTCCTCCATTCTCCTCTCAGGATCTTGGGCACGCACGCACACGCACCTGGCCTGAGTTTAAGCCACCGGGTCCGGGACGCGAACCACAGTTGACTACATGGGAATCCAGCGACATAGCCATTACGCTAACTGCTGGTCCCTCCCTGTGCTGACTTCACCCCGCTGGTCCTTACACCCACCTTGTGAGGCAGCTCTTATTAATTTCTTGTCTCTAGCATCTCTTGACAAAAGTTTCAAACATAAAGACAAAAATAAATAAATAAAGCGAACACCCATATACACCATCCAGATCATCTAGACTCCACCACCAGCGTTTTGTGACTCCTCCCTGGTGGTAGATTACTTCCTTTAGCCATCTCTGTGTCCACCTATCAGCTCATCTCATTTTTTTATGCAACCCAGGAAAGTTGCACATAGTTGCATGTTTCGCCCCTAAGTAACTCAGCCTGTCTTTCATTCATTGGAATACAGTATTTGGTTATGGCTCCTTATGTTTTCTTAAAGTAAAATGTACAAACAGCAGAGAGCACAAATCTTACAGGTGCTACCTGCTGAATTTCAACGAGACTGTGCACTTAAGTAACCCAAGCCCTGGCAACAAAATAGAACATTGCTATCTCCCCAGAAAAATCAATCCTCCACTTCCAGAGGCAACACCTGTTCTTATTTATTTTTCCTAATACGACCTAGTTTGTTTATTGTAAAACGTGCTCTTTTGTGTAAAGATTTCACTTAGCATATATGTTTTGGAGCTACGTCTATGTTGTGTAGATGAGAGGTCCTCAACAAGTTCATGGAAAAAGTGCCGTATGATTTAAAAGTTTTTGGCACCAAATTAAACTTGGACCTTAAGTG